CTATTGATACAGCCTAGAATTGTATTGGCATTTTTAGGTGCAGCATCACACTGTTGGCTCATGTTCAACTTGTGGTCTACTAGGGCTCCTAAGTCCCTTTCACATGCAGTCTTGTTAAGCCAAGTTTGGCTTTGGGATATGTGCAATGGTCCTATCCAGCTGGCCTCAGAGTAAACAGAGATGCACATGTGGGACTGTCAGGTATTGTAGCAGTGCAAGAAGGTAGACCGTGTAGAGAACAAATGTGCATTGCTTCTATGCATTGCCTTTGCACATTGTGCATTGTGCATTTCCTTTGTGCAATGGTAATTTTGAGCAGTTGACCATGGATCCACATACGTTCCTTTATGTTGATATTTAGTATAGAGGTGGCATAGCATAATGCCGCCAACAGATATTTACACTATGCTGATGAAATGTGGGATCGTTGCCTTTGAATTTAAGATACCCAGTTCCAGAGCTTGGAGATAACTATATTTAAATAGATAGAGACAAAGACAGAGTAGACACTAACGGTGCATCTATACTCTAGAAATAATGCTGTTTGACACCACTTGAAGTGATGTAGCTCCATCCTATATAATCCTGGGAATTGTAGTTTTACAAGGTCTTGAGCCTCCTTTCCTAAAGCATGCTGGTGTCTCACAAAACTACAGATCCCAGGATTCTGTAGGATGGAGCCAAGGCAGTTAAAGTAGTGTCAAACTGCATTATTTCTACCATGTAGATGCACAGAAATATTTAGAGAGATACGGATAGGAAGCCAGTGTGGTGTAGTAGTTTGAGTGTTGGACTACAACTCTGGAAATCAGGGTTTGAATCTCTGCTCAGCCATGAAACCCATTGGTTGACCTTGGGCAAGTCACACTGTCTCAGCCTCAGAGGATGACAATGGCACAACCCTTCTAAACCAATCTTGCCAAGAAAACCCCATGCCTCAGGGTCGCCATAAATGCCTTTCCATTAGGCAATGGAAAATGAGACCCTGAACCAAGATGCATCCCAACCCACTTCCAGTACTGAGGGGCGGTGTGAAAAAGAGGGTGTGCTGTCACAACTGCTGTTCCCACAGTTCCTCCCTGGTGGAAGGGGACTGGCCACAACATGATTCAGTACCCCCTCACCAGCATCTTGTTTCTAAGGCAGGTTTGGGGGGCATTTGCATTTATTACAATGGCTCCACAACCCTATGAGAATTGCATCATTTACAATGTTGTAAGCCTGGCTCACAACACTGAAATGCTGTTTCAGTATTTACAGTGTTGTTTCCTGGATAAAAGCTAAAGGTAAAGGCATTCCCCATTGACAAGGTTGTCAAGTCGTGTCTGA